GGTCAAAACATTTACAAAATCATGTTGTTTCATAAAATACACATATCAAAATCACCCTTTGCACTGCATCTCTCCTATTTGTATAAACAGTGTTCCTTCAATTTGGAAAGAATCCATGTAGTAGTTCTTAAGTTAAAGATCGTACAATGTTGAAATAAAAAAATCATTCTAAGTTCAAAACATACACAGATTTCATATTGTTTCATAAAAAACATCTATCTAAATCAACATTTGCACTGCACCTCTTCTATTAGTATCGAAAGTTTTTCTTACATTTGGAAAGATTGCATGTAGCAGCTCTCAAGTAAAAGGTATCACAAACATAGAATAAAATAAATAAAAAAACCTTCTGTGTTCAAAACATGGACAAATTTCATATTGTTTCATAAAATAAACATATCAAAATCATCCATTGCACTACATCTCTCCAATTAATATCTCAAGTTAAAGGTCGCACAATGTTGAATTAAAAACAACATTCTAAGTTCAAAACATGCAAACAATTCATATTGTTTCAAAAAATACATATATCAAAATCACCCTTTGCCCTGCATCTCTCCTATTTGTATAAACAGTGTTCCTTCAATTTGGAAAGATTGCATGTAGCAGCTCTCAAGTAAAAGGTATCACAAACATAGAATAAAATAAATTAAAAAACCTTCTATATTCAAAACATGGACAACTTTCATATTGTTTCATAAAATAAACATATCAAAATCAGCCATTGCACTACATCTCTCCAATTATTATCATCCTGACAAGGTAATATGCTAAACTTAACAAATATTGAACCTTGAGCAACATATGGTCCTTTGTGAAGCTTCACTATAAACAGTAAAAACAACAAACGCAATATTTGTGTGGAATAGAATATGGGCGCAGTTTATTACAACATTTGTGACGAAACCCTGGGGGGTGAGGTTTAAGACTAATAATAAAATAATAACTGAGCGCCGATATATCAGACGTGAGCAGCTCAGAGCATAAACAGGAGGGGCTTGTCTCACTGGGGTCACCACAGATGAGTAACCCCCCTGAGCTAGAGTCGACAAGCCGCCGACTCCAATCTGGTAAATATGCACAACCCGGCCAGCCGCCGGTAACCACTTCTTCTGGCCAGCCGCCAGTAACAGACCCCTCCGGCCAGCCGCCGATAAAGCCACACCCAGCCAGCCGCTGGCTACCACCAACCTACCTTATTAGAGAATGTTATCTGTGAGGGACATCACATCAACAAATCCATTCTCCAATTCAGATCATAACAATAGTCCTTTAGGCCTGCTAGGGTATCGCATAGACAGGTGTGAAAGCACTATACTTATGTTTGCTAACCTAACAATTACCTGAATCATATGCATGTCCCCCAGGGTCCCGCCACTACAAATTACACCGCACCGAAAGCTGCGAAGACAAGATTAACTGAATAGTTTACCTGAAGACTAACCTCCCTCCAGGTAGCAAAGAGGATTTAGAACTGCTACTATTGTCCATCTCAATTAATTACCGTACTTGGTTTAACCAAGTTGTGCAAGACTGATCCGGAGATGGTCATTCAGCAGACAGTTCTGAAACTCAATGTTAAACAGCAGCAGCAAGCATAAATTTCACATATGCATGTACACATTGAAAAGTACAACTGAAACACAATATGCAACAATCAGGGAGGGTGGGTGGGAGCAAAAATTGTTGTTGCTGTCTATAGCGCAACGTGAGCGGAAAGGATTAACACGTGACAACTGCACGTGAATCAGACAGATCTAGAGTAACCTCCCTTTCCCTATAAAATGAAACCGGCAGTTGATAAATAATTTTATTACATCTTCAGTATAATAATAAAATTCACTTTAGGCCTGCTAGGGTATCGCATAGACAGGTGTGAAAGCACTATACTTATGATTGCTAACCTAACAATTACCTGAATCATATTCATGTCCCCCAGGGTCCCGCCACCGATCCCATACCTATGGGATCGCCGCCACAAATGTAAGTCAAGTAGAACTGTTTAAACAGATACTCTCCAGTACTTCCTGTACTTCCTGTAAGAAAATAGCTATCCCCACATCGGAAAGGTGAATGTCATCATTGCGATATAAGTTGGAATCGCTTGCTGTTATATCATGCTTAATTCGACGTCCCCCTTTTTTGCATATTAGATTTGTAACGAAACGGTTTACTCTCTTCCTCTTCCGTTCAATAGCAGCCCCGTTCTGTGCACCATGCCACACCCTTCTAGGTAGGATTTCCGACCACACCAGAAGTGTTTCAGGCATAGACTCTGTGATACAAGAAACCAACCCTTCTATTTTCTTCTAAGTCATTTGATCCAAGATGTAAGACAAGTACCTTTGGAGGAGGATGTGTCTTGAGTCTATTCTTGATGCATGGTCTCAAGTCGTCCACCTTCATTCCTCGCCTGCCAAGCCACTTCACCTCAGCACCCAGCTGGTCTAGTCGCAAATTCTTCCCAAATCCTAACCGCTGTGAATTCTTCTGAGCCCAGTACACATAGGAAGATCCGACGAACCAAATGTCTGAAAAACTTAGTTGACAGGTTAAGCATACACATGATTTGTAACTGTTTCTTATATTAAAGCTATTCTGATATATCGTTTGAACGCATCCGATTTCCACCTTCCCCAACACTTGATGACGTCAGTCGGGATACCCTGCATAGCTGCAGAGGTAGCTGCACCAATACGAAAAGAGTGAGACTTGTATTTATTGTGCTCCAGACCAACAAACCCTAACGCTTTTGATAACATTGAAGAAAACTGGTATCTTGTAACTGGAAGACCATCAATATGTATGAAAAAACTCTCTTGGGATGATGAATGGGGTCTGATATCCAAATACAATCTCAGCAATGCCACTGGGCAAATTGAAACATCAGCATGGGCTCCAATGTGCAGTTCAGCTGCTCTCGAATCAGTTTTGGACATGCCAATTGTCATAACAACACTTGATGTATTTAATGTGACATCAGATAGCAGCAGTCCCTGATACGCTGGGCCTCTGTTACTCACTAGTTCACCTACACGCAAGAATCCAAAGAATGCCAAGGAGAACATACTCTGAAACAGAATAGTCGCGTACACCGACTTTGAAACAGATTGCAAGGCTTCCGTTAACTGTTTTAACAATGGTAAGGTGATAGGAGCTCTTGTATCTGGCTTTTTGAGCATCTCTTCTTATTCCTTGTAACAACTTCTTGATGACAAAATTCTCTGTAGGGTCTGATAATGAGGCTAATTTATGATATCTACTGATAGCTGAGATATGTTGATAAGCTGTTGCTGGAGACTTACCCTCCAATGATAGGTTGGCTATGTAATGAGCAATCTGCGAAACTGGAACCGGCCAAGTCTGATCTAGGTTATTGCTGAAACGAAACTGTTGAAATCCATGCAACGCATACCTGTATGCCTTATTGATGTTTTGAGATACTGACATACTTAATAGCCTGTTAGCTTCGTCTTCCATATCTGCCATAGAGAATCTGGTATTGGGGTTGGCTGCGGACGAGCCTGGGGTGCTATAATCCGAAACTGCTGCAACTGAAATCGGGATAAAGAATCTGCTATGCTGTTGTAGCACCCTGGAATATATTGAGATTTCATGATTATGTTAAGCGTCAAGGATTTGAGAGTAAACAAACGGACTAAAACCATTACTCTCGGTGATGACGATGTTAACCTATTCAGTATATGAACTACTGCCTGGTTATCAGAATTAAATATCACTTTCTTGTTTGTGAGATGTTCCCCCCAAATATGAACTGCCACAAATATTGGGAAAAACTCCATGAATGTGATGTCGGAAGTGTAACCTTGGAGTCTCCATATTACCTGGGCCATAATCCAGCTGCCCACCTGCCTTTGAAGTACAAACCAAATCCACAATGCTCTCCACTCCTATCTGTAAATAACTGTAGAGTGTCACTTGACATCCAGTATTGGTCTGAGAACACTGTAATACTATTGTGACAGCTTAAAAATTCCAGCCATGTATTAATGTCTTCCTTCGTCCCTCTTGTCAGCCTGATATGATGATATGCTCTCTTTATATTTCTTGTTGAATCTATAAATCGTCTTGAAAATGGGCGTCCCATGGGGATTGCTCGGGAGATAAAGTTTAACAAAATAAGTGACTGCATTTCCCTCAATTTCACTTTATTACGATCTGCAAACCCGTGAAGTAAGTTTTTACATTGATTGATTTTGTCTGTCGGTATTCTCAATTTCATTGTTACTGTATCAATTTCAATTCCAAGGAATGTCAAACAAGTACATGGAAGTACTGTCTTCTCACTAGCAATAGGAACTCCCAACTTCTGACATAGCAACAAAAAGGTGTCAAGTGCGTCTTGGCAATGATTAGGGTTAGGTGAGCTACCGAAAAGAAAGTCATCCAAATTGTGAAGTAATGCCCCTTGTTTCAACCTGCATTGAGTAGCCCAGTGTATAAAACTTGCTAATTTTTCAAAAACTGCACAGCTGGCGCGGCATCCCATTGGGAGGCACATATCTACATAATAGTTATCCTGAAAATGTATACCTAGGAGATCAAAATCTTGCTTATTGATTGGTCATAATCGAAATGCACTTTTAATGTCTGCTTTTGCTAACATTGCTCCTTTGCCAAATTGGTGGACTAAGTCCACTGCTTCGTCAAAACTTGTGTAAGAAACTGAGGCATACTCATCATCAATATAATCATTGACTGATGTACGCTCTGGGTATGACAAATGGTGAATTAACCGATATTCTCCTGGTTCTTTCTTTGGGACAAGCCTAATTGGCGACACCCTTAATTTTGGAAGTGGTGGGAAACTAAATGGTCCTGCCATCCTACCTGATGTAATTTCTTTCTGTAATTTCTGCCTGACTACTTCTGGTAGTTCTGTACATGATTTCAAGTTATGGGAATAACATGATTCCCTTGGACCTGTATAATTCAAACTAAAACAAAAACACAAAAAAAACCATAGGTATTCAGCCGTGTCTCTGTCGGGGTATTTTTTTAACAAAGCTGATAAATGTTCCAGATTGACAGGTGATTTACCTTTATCAGGCAAAACTAGGTTGCTTTCCCATTTGGGGAGTTTACATGTGCCAACTTTGACATATTCTTACAAAGGCGGGAAGGGTGAGGCTTACTGCAACTGGTACACACATGTGCATATCTGCACACACTGCGGCTACATTTCGTCAGATTGAAGTCATAGCATGGAAGCTGGCGTTTTGCCCGCATGTTGGGCTTAACATCTTGGCCTTGGCCTTGACCTTGCCTGTAGTATGGATTCATTGGATTGATACTAACACTTGATGATGGGGTTGCAAACATGAGCCAGAGTTCATTATTGATGACAGACCATGGTTCATGAGGATTGTGAGCATGGCGAAGTCGAAACTGCTGGTCATAGGAACGCCAACCATAACCCTTCATCCTTGTAGCTGCCATGCGTACAATATTCATGTATTTGAGCATGTGCTGTGTTTTATCCCCAAATTTCTCCAGATAAATGCTGACAAATATCAAGAATGCATCTGTCCATTCCTTGATTGTGTTGATTCTGGGATAATTGCGCCTTATAACCTCAATACCCCCTTGTGCATTGAGGCCCATGAGTCCTACTGGTTTGTTGTCATAGGTCTCCTGTCTTAGCCCTTTAGTTAAGATCCCTAATTCCACATACTCATTTTTCCAAATTTTCTCCTTGATATTTTGAGGTATAATGGAACCTAAGTTATCTTGGGATAGAACGATAGGCTGAGGAGCAATAAACTGTGAGAAATCATGCACGCCAAGCCCCTGTGACTGACTAATGCCGGTTGCCATAGCAAGCGTGCCGCTGTCGCTGCTATCAAGCTCAATAGGCCTATCGCCTACTGGTTGGAATCTAACTGAAGCTGTACTACTATCAGTATTACTAGACCTACCACTTGTAATATTTATGCTGCCGTCAGACCTGCTACACGAATCATCAACTAAGGGGGATAACTCACCTGTAGTTGAGACGAAACTGGCGGGCGCAATCCTTGTCTGCTTGGCCGACTTTCTTCCAGCCCCTCTAGACTTAACAAACGCCCTGCCTGTCGATCCTAAGGATCTTGAAACATCCTTTTTGCGTGGCATAGCGAGCTGGAAGGCGGTTACTCTTGAGAGAATACGTCTTGTGCAAAGCGAGCAAAAATTGTTGTTGCTGTCTACAGCGCAACGTGAGCGGAAAGGATTAACACGTGACAACTGCACGTGAATCAGACAGATCTAGAGTAACCTCCCTTTCCCTATAAAATGAAACCGGCAGTTGATAATTGAATTTTATTATTATACTAAAGATGTAATAAAATTATATATCTCAAGTTAAAGGTCGCACAATGTTGAATTTAAAAAAAACATTCTAAGTTCAAAACATGAAACAGATAATATTTGTTCCAAAAATACACATATCAAAATCAACATTTGCACTGCACCTCTTCTATTACTATAGAAAGTATTTCTCACATTTGGAAAGAATTCATGAAGCAGTTCTCAAGTGAAAGGTAGCACAAACATAAAATTAAAAACAATGCATTAGACGACGGGTGGCCCAGTCGTCTAAGACGCCGCGATTCGCTGTGCGGAGTTGAGTCCCTTGGGCACGCCAGAAACCTATGATTGTGGGTTCGAATCCCGGTTCGCCCCAATTATGTTTCTAGGTTTGTCAGCACCATACCCGTGCTCGTGGGTTTCACCGAAGTGGTAAACGTCTGAGACCTGCATCACTTCGAGCTTTCTTCCTACATTAAGCTGACACGCCGCGATATAACTGGAATAATGTTAAAAGCGGCGTTAAACCCAACTCACTCACTCACTCACTCAAGTTAAAGGTCGCACAATGTTGAATTAAAAAAAAACATTCTAAGTTCAAAACATGTACAAAATCATTATGTTTCATAAAATACACATATCAAAATCAACCTTTGCACTGCACCTCTCCTATTGGTATAGAAAGTGTTCCTTTGTCTTCTGGCAAGGGTGCCTCGGCATACATAGTTTCAAATACGGCCAAGACAGAATTCAAAATGTTTTTGATTGCGTGCTCAATTTCGTGATATAATATTTACCTTCAAAAACAATTTTCAAGACAATGTGCAAATTGTTCACAAATGTTTCAACACTATTAAAAGATATATGATTTTCCCACGAGTTTGCAAATTAAAAACCATCAGACAATAAGCCCGGTACAAATTGAAAGATTTAATTTTCCTTGGCCTTACCCCATACATTCAGCATTGAGAGCAACACTGGGACAGTCAAAATAGTCCATGCATCGGATGTCCTATGATCAGTTGCCTTGATCCATTCAAAAATATGATGACAGCAACAAAATGACAATAGAATTCTAGTTTAGGTGACCTTGATTTATCTATTAAATCAGAACTTGGGCTGAGTGGTTGATGAGCCTTTTCAGTCCTCAAATGAGGAATCAGACGAACTTATCACAGGGATGATCTTCAACCTTATCCATTGTCACTGCTTTTGCCTTGGTAACTGAGTAAAACAATGACACAAATATAATAACATTACAAGGTAAGGGACATATTTTTGACATAAAAATAGTTGCCTTCCCCCAAATACTAATTTGATGTCTGCAAAAAAGTTTCAGCAGTGCTACCTCCACCCGTCCAAGTCATTAAACTGTTCAACACCGCTAAAACTGGGAAGGTGGCAAGGACAGTAATACCATGGTGCTCTTGGATCATACATTGGCAGAAAAGCTTTTAACGCTAAAATGAACAAGAGTAACCTCGACCCACTCATTTTTCAAAGTTCAAAACATTTACAAAATCATACTGTTTCATAAAATACACATATCAAAATCAACCTTTGTACCACACCACTCCTATTTGTATAGAAAGTGTTCCTTCAATTTGGTAAGAATTCTTGAAGTAGTTCGAAGTTAAAGGTCGCACAATGTTGAATTTAAAAAACAAAAACAGTTCAAAACTTGAAACATTTCATATTGTTTCATAAAATACATCTATCAAAATCAACCTTTGCACTGCATCTCTCCAATTAATATAAAAATTGTTCCTTAAATTTGAAGAGAACCCATATAGCAGTTCTCACGTTAAAGGTCGCACAATGTTGAATTAAAAAACAAAAACATTCAAAACTTGTAAAAAAATAATATTGTTTCATAAAATACACATATCAAATCAACATTTGGACTGCACCTTTTTTATTTGAATAGAATGTGTTTCTTACATTTGGAAAGAATCTCTCAAGTAAAAGGTAGCACAAACATGGAATAGAAAAAAACATTCTTGTTTTAAAATGTGAAAAGGAAACCTACAGGCGATAAATCTCCTTTTTACTATCCCATCACTCCACGAAATCCGGTTGAAATGTAGTGATTTTGTACCCATAATTTCTGTTGATTGTATACCCAGATGACGTTTGCATTAGTTTCAAAGATTTACGTAAATATTAGTATTATACTTGTTAATTTACAATCATTTTCCTATCAAAACATCACAATTAACTAAGGTTTAATCAATTTCACTGTCCTATCAGAAACAAACACTCAGTTTGAGTTTTGCCAATTGGATTGCCCTCACTCAAGGATCACAGTTAGTCATAATCATAGTCATATCATGAAATTGATAATATGTTTTTTTTACATGTTCTGCTCATTTAGTATTGCTTGCAATATACATGTAAAAAGAAATATAATTATATAGATCGATTGTTATATATTCATGGGTACAAAATCACGTAGCATTTTGGGTAGAAAATATTTTTTCGGGTACATCACAAACATCACGTGTATCTTGTTTCATCCGTTCGGAGAGGGGCTGTCGGATAGCATACTGGTTAAAGCGTTCGCTCGTCATGCCGAAGACCCGGGGTACATTTCCGACATGGGTACAATGTGTGAAGCCAATTTCTGGTGTTCTCCACCGTGATATTGTCTGAATATTAAATAAAGCGGCGTAAAACCATACTCCCTCACCCACCCATCCGTTCTGAGAACGGGAGATTCTCAGAAAAAGTTTGTAAAGACATTCTAAATTGTCCTTCTCGCAATGATAGACCAATAACACCATTATTTGGCTGCAATTATGTCACATCAATTGTTATACATCTCTCCCCGCCGCCCTGTTTCAGAAAATAATTCGAAAATCATCGAGCGTTGAATCCATGACTATTTCCGATTTCGGCTTCAAAACTTCAATATGTACGATGCTGCATGTGCTTCCGATTTCAGCAATGAGTCATAAATTTATAAATAGTTTGATTATTTTACATAATCTGCATTTTGCTGCTATTAAATCGTTTTGTTACCATGTAAATAAGTTCAGATTATAAATAAACTTATTAAAGTTTTGATACTTAGAAAGCTGGAGGCAGAAACGTTTAAAGAGGAAAACTCGTTGCATTGATTGCCAAGAATACATTTAGTGGCACTTCTCTGGCACGAAGACACCCTGGAGGCAGAAGAGTTCTATGAGGACATCTCGGGGCATTGATTGCCAAGAATACATTTAGTGGCACTTCACAGTCACGAAGACAACCTGGAGACTGAAGAATTCCAAGGACATTTAGAATCATTGATTGCCTAGAGTATACCAAGTGACACTTCTCTGCCACCGTACAAGAGGCATTTCGAGGCAATGATTGCTAAGAATATGTTCCAATGGCATTTCACTGTCACGAAGACACCCTAGAGGCAGAAGATTTCTGAGAGGACATTTCGAGGCATTGATTGCTAAGAATATATTCAATGACATTTCACTGTCACGAAGACACCCTAGAGGCAGAAGATTTCTGAGAGGACATTTCGAGGCATTGATTGCTAAGAATATATTCAATGACATTTCACTGTCACGAAGACACCCTAGAGGCAGAAGATTTCTGAGAGGACATTTCGAGGCATTGATTGCTAAGAATATATTCAATGACATTTCACTGTCACGAAGACACCCTAGAGGCAGAAGATTTCTGAGAGGACATTTCGAGGCATTGATTGCTAAGAATATATTCAATGACATTTCACTGTTACGAAGACACCCTAGATGCAGAAGAGTTCCATTAGGACTGTAACGAAGACATCCTGAAGGCATATTTCTAAGAGAACATTTCGAGGCATTGATTGCTGAGGAGATATTCAGTGACACCTCACTGGGAGGAAGAATGCCCAGAAGAGATCTAAGAGGACATTTCGAAGCAATGATTGCAAAGAATGTTTTAAGTGGCACTTCTCTCTCACGAAGACACCCTGGGGGTTGAAGAGTTCCAATAGGACTGTCACGAAGACACCCTGAAGGCAGACGATTTCTCAGATAACATTTCGAGGCATTGACTGCTGAGATGATATTCAGTGACACGTGGCACCTCACTGGTACGAATGCACCCCCGAAGAGATCTAAGAGGACATTTCGAGGCATTGATTGCTAAAAAGATATTCAATGACTCGTCTCTGTCACGAAGGCATCCTGGAGGCAGAAAGCTTCCAAGAGGACATATCCATGCATTGATTGCTAAAAAGATATTCAATGACACTTCAATGTTACGAAGACACACAGGAGGCAGAAGAGATGAAACTGCACATCTCGAGGCATTGATTGCTAAGAATGTATCAAGTGGCACTTTTCTGACACGAATACACCCTGGAAGCATAAGATTTCTAAGAGGACATTTCGAGGCAATGATTACTAAGAATATATTCAATGATACTTCACTGTCAATAAGACCCCTACAGGCAGTAGGTTTCTGAGAAGACATTTCGAGGAATTGGTTGCTAAGAAGATAGTCAGTGATATTTCACTGCCACGAAGACACTATGGAGGCACAGGAGATCCAGGAAGACATCTCGAGGCATTGATTGACAGGAATATACCAAGTGACACTTCTCTGTCACGAAGACACTGTAGAAGAGATCTAATAGGACATTTTGAGGCAATAATTGCTAAGAATATATTCAATGATACTTCACTGTCACAAAAGACCCGTGAAGATTCGGGGTAGAATAGGTCTTCAGCAACCCATGCTTGCCATAAAAGGTGACTCTGCTTGTCGTAAAAGGCGACTAACGGGATCGGGTGGTCAGGCTCGCTGACTTGGTTGATGCATGCCATCGATCCCAATTG